GATTCTTGTTTCGGTTTTTATATTTGGGTGATGAGTAGATGGGGCCCGGAGCTGTCGGTGAACAACTGTTAAGCTGTCATAATCCATGGCAAAACTCTCTCTCATTTCTTTCAGTAGTAGTTACTCTCCTTCTTCGTTACTCAAGTACCTATCTATATAGAGAGAGAAGTTGGAAGAGTAGTGAAGTGAAGAGAGAGATTTAGATCTGGGAAGTGGGTCATTTCAATGGCTTCCAAACTATTAATTGTCATTGTCTTCATTTTTGATCTTATTGCTTTTGGTTTGGCTGTTGCTGCTGAGCAGAGACGAAGCACTGTGAGTATTCTCTTAATTGATTATTATTTCTTCTGACTACTTGGGATTGTATGTTGATAATTATGTGTAGAATCAAGAAATGAATAGTTATTGAGAAATTAATTGCATAGATGGTATTAGATTTATTGCTCAAATGGCTAGAATTCTTTAAAAAACTAGTTATTTCATTGCGAAACTGAATTTATTCGGGGATTTTATATTTTCCTCTCGAATTTGTTTAAGAGTATGGAATATATTGAGATATTTCTTCCAATTGCATAAAAAACAAACCAGTGAACCTCTACTGTTGACTGGACGAAGACCGACCTCTGATGATCTGATGCTAATCGTCATTCTCTTATCTGGATGGATTTTTGGTTGGTTCTATTCTATAACATCTAGTCTCTGTTGCATGAATTTTTTATTCAAAATAAGTTTCAATTTTTATAAAATAATTTGCTTGCTGCGACCTTCAACTCCATTCACTGGCCCAAGATTTGTTCCTTGTCGAAGGCATGGTAAAGAAACATATATGGATTCTAATGTCTTGGCTTATATGGGTTTTGATTTTTAAGTATCCATCTTTCTTGACAATAGACATGCATCCAATCAAGAAAAGGAAAAAGTATGTGAAACAAATGGCATTTCCTCAATAAAGAAAATGTATGTGAAAACCTTAACAATACACGCAGAGTCCATAAGAAAGGCACCATAAAGTTCATTTCCATTGCTTGATGCGGATTCTAAAGAATTCACAATGCATCAGTACTAATTTGGCTCTAATTCTGATATTAATAGTACTAATTTTGACTCTTCCTAATATTAGAATTATATGATCTTTGATAGGGCAAAACAAAGACGGATGGCGAAAATAATTACCAGTACTGTGTTTATGACTCTGATATTGCAACTGGATATGGTGTCGGTGCATTTTTGTTCCTCTTGGCCAGTCAAGTGCTTATAACGGTTGCAAGTAGATGCTTCTGCTGTGGAAAGGCTCTAAACCCCGGAGGTTCAAGGGCTTGCGCACTTATTCTTTTCATGATCTGCTGGTATATATTCTTTTCATTCTTCACACGGATAATGTTACATTTATTGCCGACCCCCAAAGTCTTCTCTCTAACACACGATAAAATTCTGAACTCTAAAGTCGGTAATTGTCATTTTCAGGGTGACATTCTTCATTGCCGAGGCATGCTTGCTGGCGGGTTCAGTGAGAAATGCTTACCACACCAAGTACAGGTCAAGGTTTTTCGAGGACCCTCCCTCTTGTGAGACTGTTAGAAAGGGCGTTTTTGCAGCAGGAGCAGCTTTCGTTTTTTTCACTTGCATGATCTCCGAGTTTTATTATATTAGTTTTTCTAAGGCGAATGGAAGCTCCTGACCATACGGAGGTGAAGGCCAATTTTGGATGGGAACGTACATGTGAATGTCATTGAATAAGTTCGCAATTGTCTGAAAATTATTCGTCATATTGGTTTTTCTATTTGCTGCTCATCTTGTTATAGAGTCTAGTTCAGTTGAAGAAATCTTGAATTCTTACACTTCATTTCGTAATTTAGATTTTTGTATGCCCTTTTAAAAGACTTCCTTAATGTTTATTTGGTTATCTCTAGGAATCATTTATTTTGGTTCTTCATTGAAAACACATCCCAATAATTTGATGATTGTTACAAATCATATTGAATTTCAATAATTTCCTTGTACATTCTTGGGCAAGACCCGATGTGAAGGTGATGTGAATCATCTTCATGTAGTTCATTGTCACGTGTTCCTCAATCTCAGTTTTATTATATTCATCGTAATAAACGTTTTAGTCTAGACGATATAATCAAATTCTTGACACCAATCCTTTAGTTTTCCATGAATATCACTTGTCGGAAGTCCGTATTATGAAAACACAAAATACAGTAATAAATTACAGTGATGCTACACCAACAAAGATTGGTGACAAGTTTTAAAATCAGATGACACTTGACAAGCAGTGATTGAACAGTTTAAAAAATCATAAAAAAATCGAACCATGCATGTGATGACACTTGACTCCTGGATTCAAACCTAATTTGAATCCTTGTTTGAGTAGATTAATTGAATAAATTAAAGTTTACAAAAGAGTGCTATAGAATAAAAAAGGTATCACATGAATTATTAGAAAAAAAATCTTCTTCTTTTTGTCCCAAAGTGACTCCACCGACGGGAACACTTAGAAGAGCTATAGTCGACATCGATTTAGCATTTTGAACTTCGGTGAACAAATGCCATTAATTAAAAAATACACCTGCCTGATATGACGTCATATGTCACCAATTCAGCATTGCCACGTGTGACAAGTGAAAAAGTTCCTCATCTACCTTCTATGATGTGGATGAAATTCACAAGACTTCACTTGCATTGCTAAAGAAATATCTGGTTTTTATTAATTGTTTAATCTTAAAGTCCACAAAAGATTTAGATTCTGTTTGTAATTTAGAAGACTTAAATTGTTTTAGCGAGAAGTGATTGGTTCCTCCATGTTTGACAGAAACAAAATGATGGAGAAATAAGAATTATTACTCCACAGACATTAAAAATTCAAAAACACAATTATTATTGCAACTTAACCCCCTCTCTTTCCACCACATGTCTATTTTTTCCATTTATTCCAACCCCTCCATTTATTCACACCAGACAATAAAAGCTTCCCCACCCATTATACGACACCGTTTCTTCTCTCCTCTCGTATCTGCGTTCCCCGAAGTTGAACAAAGAATGAGAATTACAGGGACTGTAAGGTTGAACCAAAATCAAGTTTCAGATTATTTTTTTGTACATTTTGTGTCCATTGCTGGGCCAGAAACAGGCACAAGCTTAAAGAAGAAACCAAAGAAAGATCAAAAGACTCCAAAATAACAAAAAGAAAGGAAAACAAGAAATTTGATAAATTATGGTTCATGAGAATTCCATTCTGCCCAATTGGCTTCACTTCCAACCCTGGGAATGCTATCGACTCTAGCATAATGATCAACTTTGAAATTAGCCCCACACATCACCCCTTCACTATCCACCCTTGGCATTGCCCTTAGCTTATTCATTGGATGCTCAAAACTCATTAATCCTCCCTCACTGTGGAATATGCACCCTGCAACCACAAAATCAATCATATTTTCTTGAATTATTCATTAATTTAAGCAAATCTTGGGTAGAAATTCTCTGTCATTACCTGCTGGAAATGGTGCAAATGATTTTGCACAGCCGGTTTTGATCACCTCTAAATCATCAGAAATCACCACAGAACCATCTGCAGCAATGCCCCAGTACAACTTAACTCCTCCATCAGAACCCTGAAATCATAATTCAAATTATACACAGAAAAGAAGGCCAAAATCTTATCAAAAATTACAAGACAAGGGTCAAATACCAGTGCAGTAAAAACAGTTCCAACTTTGCTGTCATAGACAACAAAAGCAAAGCTTCCTTCAAGATCCTTAATAACCTGGTCAGCCGGGTAAGGACCACGGTCCCTAAGTGTTCTATAAGCTTCAATCACAAGCATGGCCTCATTTGCATTTCTTGCTAATCCATACTGCTTGATCTGTGCAGATAAATTGTTCAAATTCCCCATGAAAAGGCAATATATATCATCATACCCACAAAACAACCTGCAAAAACAAAAACCCATAAAAATGTTAAAAGATTTCCATTAGCATAAACTCTTAAGAAATAGTTTTATGTGTATATATACCTCTGGTTCTGATGAAAAAGAGATTGGTGATCAGGTCGTACATAAGCAAGAACAGCAGCATCCCCAAAACTCATAGAGAAAGTGTTAGTAGGGTGAGAAGAAAGGAATTCTTGAAGAGCTTCTTCAGGTAATTTAGGCTTCTTTGAACTTTTGAGAGATGCAGGGCTATTTAGCTCTTCGGGTGGATGAGCAAACGCCTTGTGAAATATGGCCAACATTTTTTTCTTCTTTCTTCTAAACAGAGAAGCTGAAATAAATTTTCTTGGTTTCTCTAAGAAAGAATGGATAATTTGAGTTAACTGAAAATGGTTTATTCATTAGAGGGTGGTCCAGAATTTATATTGATTTTAAACGGTGAAGGAGGGGTGGCAGCTTTGTCTTTAGTGATTCAGAGCTTTGGATCAACACTGATGACTTATGACATTGGATAAGGATTCTCGGAATTCTTTATCTATTAGTACAACGTTGTGGACATATGATAGGGAAGATTTGAAGGACTCAAATCTGTAGCATGTTCGTTTTAAAATCTTTATTGGATCGTGCTACACATACATAATTATTTACACAATCGTTTATACCTCACTCACATTATCGAGGTGGGGATCTCGGCTCGACATTACTAAATACACGCAGGGCCCGCGTGTTTGTGAGGGGGCGGGGGGGGAGGACACGCTTCGGTAACCCCCCCTTCGGTACATATGATTTTACCCTAATTTTAATGGTATCATTCTTGTATTGATGTTGTTGTTGTTATTCGTAGTAATTTAAATTTCATTTTTATTTTCATACCATTATGTAATATTGTTAAATGTTTTATATTTACATTATAGTTATATTAAAATGAAATTTGTTTATTAAATTTTGAAATTTATAAAATTACAGTATAGAAGGATGGTCCATTTAGTTAAAAAAGAATTAATTAAATTAATTAAGGTTGAAAAACTTAAAAACAATTAAGTAAGTTAAAAACAGAATCTCAAAAGCTACTCGTTCCTTCTCTTCAACATTGCTGTCTGGGATAAAGTCTATGATCAATTTTTAAAATTTATCAACCATTTAAAATAACTTCTGACTATTTGAGAATAGGAAGTAACGGTCAAATCATTCACAAACGAAATGATCGTCCCCCATTATATTTAACCGTTACTTGGTCTTTATTTACCTTAACTTCATTTTTTCTCAAATTCATTTACAATCACACATTTTTTAAAATTTATAACTTTACAATAAAAAATTTCATCAATTTTTTTTGATCAAAATCCACAAGCCATTTTTTCTTCTACTTCTTTTCGTTTTTTTAATTTTTTTATTTTTTGTTGTATTTTAAACAAGCTCGGGAACTTGGTCAATAGACATCAGTAAACTGTATTAAAAAAATGTATATATTATGAGTAACTTATTTACTTATTTTATTGTATAGTTGCCTCAAACATGTCAGAATGTACGTTATCCAAACCTGGGAAAACCTGACAAATTGACTTGGATATGAATCATCCTCGGTCACAACCCAATGTGCTACCCATTTTTCTGTGGGCAAAATCAATGAGTAATATACAAAAAATTCTTGATATTCTTTCGAGAACCGTGTTACCTGTACAAGAGTGCACGCCATACATTCATCTATAACACTATCTGCAAAGTTAACTTTATCGATCTTTCGACACTGTTACTAATCACTTGACGATCTTGTCCTCTATTATCGAGTTCAGATTATTTTCGGAAGCTGATATTGAAGATGCAACAGACAATCAGGCAAACAAACCACCATGAAGCACTAAGGGAGTTTTAAAGTATGGTGATCAATTTATCAAAATCCCCAAAGACAAACAATTAAAGAAGGACGAATCCTGTAACAATGGATTAAAGATTGACAGGACACGACTCATCCTGAAATTATGATGTATGCATGTAGGGTTGGCAACGATTTGGTTATGGGTCGGTTTCGGCCAAAATCATAACCACGCTACCAATTTTTTGACCATACCATAATCGTACCATGACCACGTAAATCGGTTATCTGGAAAAGGTACAATCTTATCACAATTCTTAACCAAACACAATGAGATCTATTGGATGGGAATCGAAATAATTTTAATTTCTGCTGTGCATGTATAAGTAGATTCCCAACAGGGTTGGCAACGATTTGATTATGGGTCGATTTCGGCCAAAATCATAACCACGCTACCAATTTTTTGACCATACCATAATCGTACCATGACCACGTAAATCGGTTCGGTTCGGTTCGGCACGGTTCGGTTCGGTTAATAACCATGAAAATAAATTATTTTTTATAGGTTCATCTGTCAAATTGATATAAAACAATTTATGAAAAAAGTCAATGAAAACAAAAACACAATATTCCAAACGAAAATACAAACATTATCAAACAATATTCCAAATGTAAATGCAAGCATTATCCTAATTTTCAATTGTAAAATACAAATTTAACAAACAATATTATAAATATAATAATACTAAACTTTTCCTTCATTATTAATTGTTGTGCATCGAAGTTACTTGATTCATTCTTCCCTACAAGTCTTACTAACATAGATTAGCATTCAAAGTTGATTCCTTTTCATACTGACACGTCTAGAAAAACATCAAACTCTTTTTTTACATGATCAGCAGTAATAGAATGGCTAACAAATGCAACAAATTTTCGGAGGCGACAACGACTTGGACCGTAGAGGCAGTGGAGCCGTGCGTGAGTTTGTGGTTTGTGGAGAGTAGGGTTTGCATTTATATACTGTCAATCTGTCATACTAAAGCTATTATGGGCTAATGGTAAGTGGGCTGGCCAAATGAGTCAGATAGATGCAATGAGGAGGGGAGGGATTTTGTTTTTGTCTGGATAGAAAAGTAGTGTAAAGCCCATAATCAATTCAATTGTGTTTTTTTTTAGCGGGTAATCGGTTCGGTTTCGATTCGACGACGTAAATACCATACCCGCACCATTACGGACCGATTCATTAAAATCAAAACTATATCCGCCTCATTGCACCATCGGTTCGATTTTTTTCGCCCCATTCAATTCGGTTAACCGCGATTTTCGATTTTGACGGTTCAAATTGCCCTCTCTATATGCATGTTGAGGACTTCCCCTGGATGACCATAGTTTCTATTGTAAAAAGAAATTTGCTACATATATATAAAAATGTATATATGCGATTACCGAAAATGATGTGAAGGGAAAAAATTGAATAAAAAAGTTGATTATATTTTAACCCGACAAATAGCATAGACACTACATAATCCATTGTATAAATTTTAATGTACATGTAACAAGATCCGTGTAAAAATTGCCAATAATGTACGAATTAAGCTCCTTGTATAGATAGAATGTATAGAAAGCATTACAAGCGTATAGATGACAATACTGCATTGGCTGGTTTAACTTTGATTTTTGTCCAACATTCAATGAAATCTTGTCGTCTGACAATATTTATAAAAAAAAATGTTAAAACATTTCTGTACATGTAACAGGATTGATAATATTGTCATTTTTCCAAAGATTTCAGGGCTGGGGAACAGCCATGGTATCTTATTATAGACCATGTTGAACTATAAAGAAGAAGTGGGTTGTTTATGGCTCCAACGTCCAAAAATCAAGTGATTAGGGGTACAGGGCACGTCAAAATCGTAAAAGGCAAATATTGGACCAACTCGTTTAATCATGCAAGAAAATGAGATTGTGCAGTAGCATTGACGATAAAATTTGATTCATTCCACACGAAGTAAAACCAAAGAAATCTAAAGTTGTAATAACATAGATTGTATTATATAATATAAGTATCTGGAATTATTATATAAACTCAAGCACACCAAGACGACTTAAAAAATTGAAATAAATCAAAGCAAACAATTTCTGTTCTCACTCATTAATCAAACCGGAAATAATGTACATAAAGCCTGCTGCTTATGCACCTTCATGGAGAGAGATGTGAAACCATCATTGCTCTACGATTTTGTCCTTCAAATATTTCAGAATAGCTTTTGTTCCTCGGTCCAAAATAGCCCTTCGGATACTGGAAAAGCCAGAGACATTATTTTAAAGAGTGCATATATACTGCCCTGCATCTTTACTATCAACTCATATAAATAGTGGAATTTCAACTGAAATTAACAGCATAAAAACACAGTAGAATTTCATCTTCCGTAGCTTGTCAGGTAAGAACCCGATAAAAACTACAGAAGTCATGCTAAAAGCACAATTTTCATGGGTGGAGAAAGATGCCACTTTTAAACTTAATTGGTAAGAACTAGCTATATTGATGTCATAATCAAATTATTCAGAAGTAACTTACATGCTTTTAAATAGGAAAATGCAGTTTTAATTCTCAGATTCCAATCATTCGATAGGGAGGGGACCGAATGAGAGATAAATGAGCATAGTAATGACTTATGCTGGGTAAATGAAAAAGTGGACAGAGATGGACACAGGGCAAAAGTAGATGGAAAGACAAATGAGAATCCAGAAGAAAGTCATTAATTTCAGAACGTCGAACGACATTGTAAGTTCTTAGTTATTTCTTTTGGGTTTCTTGGGTTCCATTATTTTTTGATTAATTCACAAGCATTCCATATGTTCGCTTGCTGTTGATTATAGCTTTACAGGTCAATCATAAGGTTGACCGACGTATCCTTTAAGCTAATTTTGATTTGCATGGCATCTCCTGTTCAAATCTAAGCTATTACCTAGCTGAAATGTAAGCAACTAACATGAGGAATTTGATAGAGCGAGTGTAAAATTGTAAGGCAGGTGTTGTTGGTGACGGTTAGGAAGTACAAAACCATGACCTAAGCATTTAGCATTACCATAAAATGATTAGAAGGATTTTTTTAGTGAGACAGATGGGAGAGTTATGCTGGTGTCAGATGTTGCTGACTGAGATATCAAACTGAAATTGGAGATTGTTAATTCACTAAAGAGAACGATGACTCTAGTAGATAAGGTCATTCAACGTCGAAATGCATGGAGTGCACAAGGGCAAACATGGCACAACTAGATTCGGTTGACTTACTGGCCTATTCTTAATATTTTACCTAAAACTCATTTATCTAATCACGAACTCAAAACAAGAGTAAACATAAAAGATGAACTGTACCTTCTCAATGGGTTCCCATCAAGTTTTAGCACTTGCAGGTTGGATTCAAGCAAACCCTGTAGAACAAGATATGCAAAAAAGCAATTAGCAAAGCAGGAAGTATGGGATGTGGAAAACGAATCTTTTAACATGCATGGTAATTGAGAAAGCATCTATTGCTAATGACTAAACAATCTTCAATAGATTAGCAGCTTTCTTTCCCCTTCCCCTTCCCCTTCCCTTTTTCAGCA